CAACAACAGTATCAAATACTTATTTAATATTTAGAGATAAATTTAACCCAAAATGTAAAGGATTTATGTGCTGAAAACTACAAACCTTGGTGACAGAAGTTAAAGAAAATTAAAGAAATGGAGAGACATACCATGTTCGTGGATTAGAAAACTCAATATATTGAAGTTGTCAAACTTTCCTCATAAATAGATTTAATGTAATCCCAATCAAAATCCCAGGAGAATTTTTTGTTTTTGGTAAAAATCAATACGCTGTAAATTTATACCAAAAGGCAAAAGACATAGAATATTCAAAACAGTTTTTAAAAGATTAAAATCTTGGACATACTATTATTCTACAGTGATCAACACAGTGGGATATTGGTTAAGGATAGATACATAGACAAGATGAACAGAATAGAGAATCCAGAAATAGACCCATACTTAAGTAGTTAACTGTTTGTTATTTTTAACAAAGATACCAGGGAAATACAGCAATGGACAAAAGACAAGATTTTCAACAAATAGTGCTGGAACAATTGTTTGTCTATGTAAAAAGGAAACAAACAAAAACAAAAACAAAACCTCAATTCACATCAAACATCATCATAATCTAAAATTAATTCAAAATGGATTACAGGCCTAAATGTAACACCAAATAAATTAAATTTCTAGGTAAAAATACAGGAGAAAATCTTTGTGACCTTTGGTTAGGCAAAGGTTTCTTAGGACATGAAAATAAGTATCATACAAAAATATTTGATATGCTCTACTTTCATCAAAATTAACATTTCTTTTCAAGACTGCTAAGAAAATGGAGAGAGAAGCTACTTATTTTCAAAACACATATCAGAAAAAAGAATGATGTCTAAAACATATAAGGAACTCTCACAATTCAATAATTAGATAAGCAACCCCATCAAAAAATGAGAAAGGATCAGCATGTGCTGAGATATAGAGAACTGGAAATCACATTCTCCCCTCTTACAACAACAATAGAAAAAAAAAAAAGAAAAGGATAAACGGAAACTTAGTGATTTTATTTCAGCCATTCGGAGAACTGTGGTTGCAGGGCAAATGACTCACTCAGTTTGGAAACAGACAGGCATTTGCAAGAAGAAACAGGAACTGAGTATTTGCCTACCTTGGACAGATGCTGTCAAACACCAGTTAAGCTGGTCAGAAGATTAAACTAGACATTTTTAATAAAATAATAAGAGTGAGTATGGACTAGTGGAAGAGCATAAACCCTTGGGACCACAAATATAGGGTATTTCCCACTATCTTTTAAGGTTTTCTTCAGGGACCCCAAAAGATTCTTCAAGGGAAGATCAGGGAGAATCCTGAAGAAAGCTTCCCCTTTGGTGCTAGCTGCAGGAGAAGAACACCAGCTACTGCTAAAGCCCACCCAGGCCTAATCTAGCCAACTCCAATGTAGGGCGGAGAAAAAAGGCAGATGGCGCTGGTGGAATTCTACTGCACTTGAAGGAGGGAAAAGATGCTACAACCAAATCTTTGTCCAGAACCATCCCCCATCTCCATAAAGTGACAAATTTTCATCTGCAGAAGGATGGACATCAAAACCATGGCCTGAAGGAAGTGGATACCCACTGTAGGTGGGGGAAAGAAAGAGGATAAAAAAATGTTCTACTTCTAAAAGAGGGCAAGAACATTTGTGAAAGCCACATTCTCAAAACCCACATTTACTCTACCTGTTTATGACCCATTCTTAATCCAAATATCAGAGAACGTCCCCCTTCCTCACCTCTCACCAGCCCACTAACAAACCTTGAATAAATATAACAGTGAAATATAGCTAAGGGCACTTCAATGAGACAGGCATTCTCTGGAGAACAGAACAAAGGGAAGACTTAAACCCAAGTGAGAATGAGGCAGGATAGGTAGCCTAGGATGTTGACAATCCACTCCAGGAAAACACGTGAGGCACTTCCTTGATTCCACAAGTAACAATGACTGTATCCAGCACCTGCAGCTGGAAAAGAACAAGAACCAGTTTCATCCAACTAAGGCTAATCTCCTTGCCTGGGACCTAACAATTAGCTAATTATAATATTATTATAATCTCATTTACATTGCAGGTATTACAATGGGATGTTACCAAAATCTGCCCCTTGAAGGTATAAAATCTGCCCCATGAAAATCAGGACTTCCTTAGTGAAACTCAATCTCTGAGTTCACAATCAATACCTTCTCAAGTGTGTACTTTCATTTCAATAAACTTCCTGGGTTTCCCTGCCTCTATCTCACTCTTAAAATATTTCTCGTGCAAAGACAAGAACCTTGTCATTGCTGCTCTGGGTAGAGTCCTCTCTTGGACATCCCCGTGAACCTCTGGTGACAAAAAGTAAAAAACAAAGTATGACTAGACAAATTTTAAATCTCTGAACCCCAACAACAGTGAACTCCAACCATGACAACTAAACAACAAACTCCAAACCCAGTCTAACTCCTGATTAGATTAAAACAAACTCCCACTCTAAAGACCTAGCAGAAGAAAACGTGCGCTCATTTTCAAGCATAAAATATATTTACCTCAGTATGTATCACACCACACAACATGTCTAACTGCAACCAACAATTTCAGAGGCATATGAAAAGTCAGGAAGAAACACAGTCTGAAGATGCAAAGCAATCATCAGAACCAGGCTGAGACATGACACAGGTGTTGAAACTAGCAGACAACAAATTTAAAATAAGTATGATTA